AGAGGCTGCAGGTAGGTCCCCTATCAAAGGGTGGCCCAAAGAGGAGCCCACGCCAGAAGCAAAGATGTGGGCAACACATGGCTGGACCACGCTGGCCACGGCACACTGTGCCCCACCCCCCGGTCCACATGAGCACAGCTCCCTCGTGTGGCGTGGGGGAAATGCAACACCCCAAAGAGTTTCTCCCAGTAACCGGGCCCCCTGAGCAGCTGCTTCAGGCATGGTGGGATCCAGGCGCTTGGGCTGCCTGGTCTCTTGGTCTCTCTGTCTTGCTGTCTGGGCTTGACCATCCTCGTGCTGGTTTCCTGTGCTCTGCCTTCTCCACAGGCAGGGAAGGCGGCCCGGGAAAGCCGGGCCCCACCGCCCTGGCCGGCCCTGTGCAGGGCTGGGAGTGGAGGGGGGCTCAGTGAGGTCTGAGTGTGGTTCACCTCATGGCCCAGGGTTGCTGTCCTCTGATTGGCCGTCACAGCCCTCCCCTGGCAGCAGGGCACTGTGAGTGACAGCCCTGTTGCCCTGGGGGTGGTGGTGGGCAGACCTGCTCTTAGCCATGGTCCCCAGTCAGAATCCCGGGGCCATGGAATCACCCCCTTCCTGCCCCTCTCCTTTCTCTGTTCTCAGTTCTACGGGGACAGATCCGACCCCAGGTCAATTCCCCAGCTCTTCTCCCCACCTCGGTCCCTGACGGAGCGGCCACACCTGTCCCCCCACCTCTGTCCCTGATGGAGCGGCCACACCTGTCCTCTGAGCAGAGGGAGGCAGTGAGGGTCACAGGCCGTCCGACACTCCCAGGCCTGGACCATGGGCCCCCTGGAGCCCCTGGAGAGCCACTGTCCCAACCCCACGGACCAAAGCCAAGGCCTGGGCCGGTCAGCGGCCAGGTAGCCCTCAGCGAGGGCAGGACGCTGGGCCGGGAGGAGCTCGGATGCCCCGCGCCCACGGCCGCTCTCTGGGGACAGAAGCGGCTGCAGCCTTCGGCCAGTCCCCAGGGCGCCCTCAGCTCAGGGGCCCTCTTCCTGGGCCGCACTGCTGATTGTCCCGTGGGACTCAGGGAAACCAGGAGGAGAAAGGAGAGGGTCCAGCTTCCGCCGGGGGCGCGGGAAACCCCACGGACACTGGGCAGCAGTACCAGGCGGGCTTGGGCCATCCAGGGGTCGCTTGGTGTCTGTCCCTGGTGTGGTCAAGGCTGAGGTGGGACCCCAGGCCTCAGGTCCTGCCCAGGAGGGTGGATGGAGCATAAGGGGTGCGTGGGCTGTGCCCCTTCTCCGAGCAGCTCCTGGGTGGGGTGGGGGTGGGTTGTGAGGGTAGGGACGGCAGGAGCAGTGTGGCCTCTGGACAGAGGTGAGCCCTGAGGTCTGGGCGGGAGTGGCCTCTGGGGCTCGTTCCTGGGCCCTCCTTTCCTGCTGTGGGTGGAGGCCGACGGCCCCTCCCAGGCCGGGCCCGTGGAGACGTGGAGAAGGGGTGAGCAGGGCACTCCGGCGGCGAGTGGGCTGCAGTGTGGACACTGGAGGAGCAGGGTGGTGGGAGGGGCGGGCGGCTCCCGGGGCCTTAGTACCAGGCCTGAAAGCAGCCCCCACACTCGATAATTTGGGGAAACTCAAGGCAGATGCAGTCTTTGGGCCTGTTAGTGAAGGCACACACACACACACACACACACGGGCACCTAGAGAAACACGAGGCCCGAGACCGGCTATGTGGGCACCGAGCTGGGGCAGGGCGAAGGGCGCAGACCCAACACTCCCGCCTGGAGGGGCTGCCTGACAGATGCCACCTCCAGCAGCCCCCACCCCACCCGAGGCCAGTGCTGGGATGCTTTTTAATAACCACTTTGTTTCAAGGGGAGGCAGGTACTGCCCTCCCATCTGACGGAAGAGGAGACTGAGGCTCAAGAAGCCTGGACTCCCACAGCTGAGAGTGGGCACTGGGGCAGGACCCAGACCTGCGGCCCAGCTGGGCCTCGGGAGGGGGAGGGCCCCCTGCTTGCTCTGGGTCAGGCACAGGCCTGAGCGTGGCTGCTGGTGCCCGGCCCAGCCCTGGGACTCAAGGTCAGAGCCATCACTTGCATGGACAGCCAGGCGGCCACAGGTAGGACTGGCCACTCAGCCTGCAGGGTTGGGGCAGAATGAGCACCCAGGTCCCCTTTTCCAAAGTTAAGAACTTCAAGGTGGTGACAGGAGAGCATTGCGCCAAGTGTGGGCCCAGGTTCCGCATGAGCCCCGCCCCCGCCCCCGCCCCCGCCCGGGGCCACTCCCCACACCTGCGAGACAGGGCGATGGAGAAACGGAGTCCTTCGTCAGGTTTATTTGCCTCTAATGACAGTTTAGCATTTCAGGTTTGCATTCTATACTCGTACAAACTTCAGTATTAGCATCAGGAACACAAAGACATTGCAAGACCTCCAAACACAAATAAATACCAAATAAAACCACACACAATATACAGTAAACAAAAATAGAAAACATAATAATGCTATGAGAAAACCAGGATGGTACGAACTCATATGATTATTGCTGAGCAATAACTCACACGGTCTTTGTTGTTGTTTTCTTAGAAGAGCAGGAAAACACGGACGTGAACCACTGGTCGTCACACTCACGTGCAGTCAGATGGCCCTCACAGCGAGCGTCACCGGACGGCGGTTTGTAAAACAGGCAGATTAAATACAGTCAAATAAGAGATGGGCCTTCTTTGGTCTTTGTTTGGGGCAAGAACTGAAGAGTGAGCCACCGGAGAAAGAACGTGACTAAAAGCGCCTCCCGCCCGTGCGCGTGGGTTTACATGCTTCCTTGGTCAGAGATGCTCCCACAGAGAGCTCGCAGAGGAACCTTGGGAATCATGCGCTGCTGTGTTTACCAACGGGGGCATCGCGCTTGCTGCTGAAGGTCATCTTGCTTGTCTACGGGGACTGAGTTATAAACCACCGACCGCGGCAGCAGGGGCGGTGCAGCCCTGATGCCCACCTTGTCCCTGTGCGAGTTCACAAGACATGGACACGGCGGCAGAGGAGAATGAAATGCAAGCACAGCTCAGCGCCCCCCAGGGCAGCGGCGATGCTCCCAGGATGCCTCTGGGCCTTGCCTCCCCCGCCCCCAACTGGCCGGGCTCCCTGGTGACAACCAGCGCTGCCCGGACAGACAGGAGTGACCAGGTCACCTGGCCACACTGGCCCCTCCACCGGCCTCCTCTGGCCTGGGCCTGGCAGCCACATTCCACTTTGGAGAAACCACAACTACCAGATCGGCCAACAGAAGACAGAACCGTGGTCCTGGCTGAGAAGTGGCTTTGGGTGGCAGACCCCCGTCACCAGCGCTCACACAGGCAGACGGGCCCCTGGAACCCGCTCACCTCTGCAGCCCCAAAAAGGTCAGCTCTGCCCAGCCCTCAGCACAGAGGGCGCTTTGGGGCAAGGCTGGAGCTCCCGCCCGGCCTGCCCTGGGGAGACAGCAGAGGTTCCGGGGCTGGACCGTCTGTGACGGGCACAGAACAGCGCGGGCCTCACTCCGTGTGTTGCGGGACGGGCTGTGGGCCTGGGCCCCGGGGTGCGAGGGGGGGTCCTGCCTATCTCCCCACATCCTCTGACCGGACCATGGAATGACCCACCTGGGGACTCAGCTGTTTAAGGGTCTGTCCAGACCCTTCTGCCGACGATGCCCCTCGGCTACAGGTTGCTGGGCCGGCCATGGGGGACCCCGACACCGCCCAGAATGAGCGGGTGCTGCTGCTGATGGGACATGGGCCCCAACCCCGGGCAGCTGAGGACCCTGGAGACAGGCAGGTGTTCCCTGTGGTCCCTAAGGTGGGCCACAGGTTCAGGGAAGCCTTGGGGCGTTCGCTCTGCTGTGACGGGGGCTCGGGGCAGCGAAAGGGCCTGGTGGGGGCGGGGAACGCGGGGAGGCAGCTTTCCCGCCACAGCCCTGAGGTCACAGGGCAGGAAGGAGCTGCGGGGCCAAGAGCTTCCCGCGCTCCCAGCTGTTCCCACATGAGGGGCCGCGGAGCTGGGCACTGGGGCCCTGACAGCAGCCGTCATGATGCCCCCACGATGCCCCTCGGTAGTGAACGCATACCGAGCTGCGCCCGGGGTTGGCGCCACCCTCTCCTCCGACAGGTCTGAGAACTTCCATCCCAGGCTCTGCTGTCACTGTGGCCTCTGGAAATGGGAAAACCTGCTCATAAAAAAGGCCCAGGCAAGGGGGCTCCAGCCGGACAGACCCTCAGGGACACCGGGCCCCAGGCCCCACACTGCGGCCTGCGCGCGGGCGAGGCTGCAGGGAAGCCGAGAGCGTGGGCTTCTCTGAAGCACAGGACTGTCCGTGGGAAATCTGCACTCTTAGTCGAGGGGAAAGCGCACCCGTCACAGCACGTCGGACACCCTCTTGTCGCCAGGAAGTGGAAGGGCCGCGAGGAGCAGAGAGCCAGGCGGCGGCCCCCCAGCATACGCAGGGGAATGGGCACACAGCAGTGGCCACAGGCCCCCAACCCCCAGTGCCACAGAACGACGCTCCCACCATGCCACAGCCTCTTCCCAGCCACGTCCTCTGGGCTCCTTGGAGGTGGGGCCGTGGGCTCCCCCAGGGCACGTCCCCCACCGGGCGGTGCTTCCCAGCAGCCCACCCCAACAGCTCTCCACCCGGGAAGGAGGGAATAGGATGTTTTTTGTTTTTCTTTTTGGCCGGACCAAGGTGGTGCTTATTCTCAATTTGTTAGTAAAGTGGAAGTCGCGGGAGGTCCCGCTGGTAACCCCTGACCTGGAGCCGCCTGAGGCCAGGCAGGGAGTGCCAGGCCCCGCAGGACGTCCTTCCTCTGGGAGTGGGGACGCGACCCGGACTGACTGCCTCACCTCACAGCGTCCTGGGAGTGGAGGGAGAAGACGAGACTGAGCATTTGAACTGGGGCCTGGCAGGTGCTCGGAACCCAGGAGGTCACTTACGGACGCCGGCATGTGCGAGGGGAGGGCGCTTCCAGCAGGCACCGGGGCGAAGGCACACCCAGGCGGACAGCAGCACCAGAGACACGGCGGGCCCGGCCCCAGCCCAGCCGCCCGCGCAGCCGTGGAGCCAGGCAGGCAGGCAGGCAGGCAGGCAGTCTGAGCGCTGGCTGGTCGAGGGGGGGCTTTCGGATAAGCAGCCGCAGGCGGTGGGTCGCGCTGGTTGGGCCTGGGAAGCACCCGTCACATGTAGCACCCGTCAGTTAGCACCCGTGGAGCGTGCTGCATAGCGGAGGGGAGGCAGGGCTCGGCTTCTAATCACAGTTGGACCATTGAGAGAAGGTAAACAGTGAGTTGAGAAAATGCCGGTGGGGCGGGCGCAGGCCGGGCCCAGGGACCTCCAGGCCACCCTCCCGAGGGCGGTGGTCCCGGAGGCCAGGGGTCGGCCTGGCAGGCCCCAGAGCGGCGGTCTCTGGAATGCTCGAGGGCCCACGCCTGCGCCCAGACCAGGTGGCTCACCTTTGGGCCTAGAGATTTGGGGTCTGTGATAATCAGGGGTAACTGAGCAGTGGGGGCCCCCAAAGCCGAGATGGAGCTGGCTCCCCCCAGCAGGGGCAGAGCTGCCTGGGCCGGTGAGACAGAGCTAGTGGTCGTGGAGGCTGGTCGCACGGTCACTCCCTAGAATCAGAGCACACAGAGCTTGGGTCGGGAAGCAGCGTGCAACGGTAAGGCACAGGTACAGTATGCCACCACCTCTACGCAAAGATGTCACTTCCGGAGGTCGGAACAGAACGCAGCAGTATGACAGAATGGAGGGACACCTGCCGTGGCCACCTGCAGCACACGTCACCCGCCCACCCGGCGCTGGACGCCAGGGTCGGCGCTGTCGGCGATCGAGACCGTCGGAACTCGTGGGCACAATTTAAAGCCTGCAGGACTTTGTTCAGAACTCCGAAGTTCAACTAATGCCCTATTTTAGGGTGAAAACAATTATAAATCTGAAATGATGCACAGCATCCATGAGCAATTTCCTTTCGTAATAATTTGAAGTAGTGTCATTGACTACGACAGATATTGAAGGTTTACATTTCTAACGAGAAATAACACAGATTGAATATTCTCTTTCCTATCACAAGTGATAACCAGTGTTGGATAGTTTACATTTTCTTCCAAGAAATATAAGTCTATCAACGTTTTAAAATAAAATGTCTGCAGTAACCATTATCTTAGAACTTTAAATTAAAAAATGATTCTGAATTTAGAGACTTCCAGAAAAGACCGAGGTGACTTCAGGGTCTTCTGACAAACAAATTATTAAAACAGAGACCAGGTGAGGCCTTAAAAATAGACAATATGCTGTATTTGAAACAAGATTGCACTCTTGAGCTTTAGAACGAATATATCAGAACTGCATTATTATTTCATAAACTCTTCTTTACTTAACATGCTGACATGTCCAGCTAGCCCAGGCGTGTGTGCATGTGGTGGGTGTGTCTTTTGTGTGTTCAAGTTTCAGGAAGAAAACTCATGGTTCTTTTCGGAGCCTATGTGTCTTCCACCTTAATGAGTGAGACTTTTAAAAATGGAAATGAACCTTCCCCGACAGCAGTGTTCCTCGCCGCAGGATAAAGAATTCTTCAGTGAAGTGTTGCTAGTCTATAGAAAGCGTCCCCCGGCTGGCTCCTCCCGCCGGCCCGCGGCCGCCTCCTGCACTTCCTGCTCCACAAGGTCCTTACTGAGCGTGAGGACCCCGGTGGAGACAGCAATTCCAACCCCCGAGGAGTTGCCTTCTGCTCAATCCGCCCCCTGTGGCTGTCAGGGGTCAGGCAGGTCAGAAGTATCCACTATGACTTTAATAAAAATGGTGTCATCTTTGATGTACGTCCCGTTCTCCAGCACAGTCTGTGCCACGAACACTGGGCAGCCGGAGGCGATGTTCATCTCCCCGCTGGGCTTCTTGAAGCTGCTGCTGTTGGGGTCCGGCTTGAAAGCGTCCCCCAAGTGGCGCCGCGAGGAACCCTGGTCCATGAGCATGAGCGTCACCTTCTGCTTAAAGGGCCAGGGAAGCAGAGCGTCGTACTCTCCGCGCATGATGACGAAGAAGAGTGACAGGTGCGTGCCCTTGCCCATGCCGTCCCCGTTCAGGTAGACCCGGGCGCACATCTTGTAGCCGAAGTAGCCGGTGTAGAAGGGCTGGCTGTACAGGGACAGCGTCTTCCCCATGACGGCCTCCTGCTTCCGCCGCTTGTAGTCACGGATCTTCCAGATGAGCACACCGTTGTAGCTGGCGGTCTCCAGCACCTGGAAGCGCAGGTCCATGTCGGCCAGGCGGATGTCATGGACGCTCAGCATCTGGTCGTGCCGGCTCAGCTGGGACTCCAGCAGGCCTGGCGGGCGGACAGAGTGGACAGAGGGGTGAGGGTGTCAGCGGGGTCAGAAAGGGAGAGGCCGACTCTCACCAGTGCCTGCACTAAACACTGAGAAACCACTGAGGGTCCTGGCGGTGGAGGACAAACGCCACGCAGCTGACCTGACACAGGGGCCCACACACCCAGGGTGACAGTTGCTGAGATGCACCAGCCTGGGGTCCCTGGGCACCTCTGCAGCATCCACAACAAGGAGCCGCTGAGGGCAGGGAGGGCGCCCCTGTCCTTCTAGCCCAAGGCTTGGGGTCGTCTGTGCCCCGAGTTCCAGTGGCTCCTCTCCCACCTCATGTCCTCGTGCAGCTTAGTCCAACCCCACATGTTCCTCTCACCACCAGTCTTTTCACGCAAACACTCTGAACATTCATTCAGCCCCGAGTCACAGGCCCAGAACCGCCAGCTGACACACGTGGGCCTTGCCTGCCCGTCACCTCCTGCTCCTGGGCGTCACGAGCACCTGCCTGTCAGGCCCTGCCCTCCACCTGCATCCCCTCACTGGCCTCGCACGGAGGGGACAAGTCTGTGGGACCCATTTCTTTCAGCCAAAGACACCTCAGCAGGAGGCCTGCCGCCTGGGCACACGCTGCACCTGTAACGGACGTCCTGGGCCCCACGTGCCGAGGGGACCGCCTACCCCTCAAGTTTGAGCTGCAACCCGTACCGGGGGTCGCAGGAGTCTGCGAAGTGTGCCCCCGTCCCAGTCCCTCCAGACATGTCACTGCCCCGCCCGCCCGCGCTCACCTGTGTTGCGGGCCGCCTGCCCTGAGCTTTTGTCCACACTCTCCAGCTCGGTCACCCGGTTCTGCAGGGACTCCACGCTGCTCTTCATGCTGTCTGCTTCCTCCCAGTTCTGCCGGAAGGGGCGGATCTCCTTGTCGAGCTCTTTCAGTTTCTCTGCTTGGCTGTCGATTACTCGCTTCCAAACCAAAGGCATCAAAAAGACAAACACAGTTAGCACTCTCTGGAAACGCCCGTGCCACCACTGGAAGAGGCTGGGTAGGAGCGGAGCGGCCAGCTCCGGGCCAGGGCAGCCCCGCACCTGCCCCTGCACACGGGCCTCTCGTGAATCTCAGGAGACATGAGGGATGAGGGTCCACGTTCCCAGAGGGGACCGAGCTCAGCACAGGTCTCACCCGCCGATGGCAGGGCAGGCAGCCCGCATCCCTCTGTCCTGGGGAGTCTCAGGTTCATGATGCTCAAGTGACACCACTGGCCCTGTCGGAAGGCCTGTCCTGAAAGGCTCTCCAGCCATCAGCTGGGGCCAATGTGGCCTCCTCCCTGGCTGCCTGGGCCCAGGGCTGAGGGAACAGAGCCCTGGCGGGGGTAGGGTGGGGGGGTGAGGGGATTGCTTCCGCCCCTGCTCCCTGCTCCACGTCCCACGCCCTCCAGGCCACAGAACACCACACTGCTGGCCCACACGTGCTATTGACAGCGAGGCCTGGCTTTACGCTATTTTAACTTTTAAACATATTTTTATTGATTTCAGAGAGGAAGGGAGAAAGAGAGAGAATCATTTATTGGCTGCCTCCTGCACACCCCACACTGGGGATCAAGCCCACACCTCGGGCATGTGCCCTGACTGGGAACTGAACTGTGACCTCCTGGTCCATAGGTCAATGCTCAACCGCTGAGCCACGTGGGCCAGGCTCTGCTATTTTAATTTAGATAATTCAGAAAACCTTTCCTCCCAGAAACACACAGACCATTTACATCTCTACAGGGACTGGAGGAACGAGACCTGCACTCCAGCTAAAGGACTGGCATGCCCACTGCCCAGACCAGGCCAGGACCTAGAGTTTTCACTTCTAAAAAGAATTTGCATTTGTGACATACAGCTCCTGGAGGCTGGGCAATGCGCCCCTATTAAACTGGGGGGCAGGGAGGGGCCAAATTCACTTCCTCTTTTGAAAGCCTATTTTTAAACACATAAGTTTCAGCACCTTTGGGGGATGTTACTAACCACGAAGGAACAAACATGGCTTACTTTTTTGGGGCAAAAGCAGTGTTACTCTTCCTCTTCTTTCCAAGAAAGCCTGGCATGGGCTCGTGTTTAAAAAGGAAAGATGATTCCTCCTCCTAGGCGGGGGCTTTTTACTCTAAGGCGGGGGCTGTGGGCGTTTCCTTGGCCCCCGAGTCTGCTTTCGGGGCACAGCCCTCTTCACACTAGCGAGCACCACACCCGAGGTGCCTGTGCAGGGTATGCACTCATCCTGTGAGGTGACAGGCGGGGCTCCCAGGGACTAAAGGAGACCCGCAGTGACCGGCCGGTCGTGAGCGATGCTGAGGGAGCCAGGAGCCTGGCCCAAGACACGCCCCGCATGCATGTCTCATGGAGCCTCCTGCACTCCCCACCCCACAGGGAGGAGCCTGGGACAGCGGCCTGTGGGCATGTGGTCACCTCAAGGACAGACTGTGGTGTCTGAACCGTGAGCTCCCGTACGGACAGCAAGGCCCAGCTCCGGAACGCGGGCACGCTCACGGGCACATGGGTACACAGACAAGGCTCAACCCAATTCTGTAGGAGGGGCTCCACACAGCGAGGAAAATCGCCCTTTCAAATGACCGTCACCCGTACGAACGGCACTGCTTGAAGCAGAGGCCGGTCCTGGCCGAGCATTCGCTGAAAAGCCAGCACAGGGGGCTTCACTCCTGAGGAGCAGGCTCCACCTGGCAGCTGCAGTTCCCATGAGAATAGGTCTCAAGCGCAGGCGTGGGGCTTTCAGGAAAAACGCATTCGGGAGCCGAGATAAACTGCGGCCGCACACCACGTGGCAACCCGAGCGCGGGGCCTGCCTGCAGCGCACCAGCTCCTTTCTCGTGCACGGGCACTTCGGAGCCAGCGGCTGGGCCTTTCAGTCACCGCACACGCCTGTCCCAGACCCGCCACTGCCAGAGCCCTGGGTCCTCCCAGACCCTCCTGACAACGGGACCTGGGCCTTACAGTATACCCAGGCTGCCTTTCTAATTTAGGAAAAGGTTCTTTAAAACGTCAAATATTAAGCTGACACACTCTTCACTTCCACCCGAGTCGTCTGTCTGCATCCCTGTCCGTGAGAACCCTCTGCTCAGATGCGCTGCCGCTGCGTCCGGGACTTTAGGGCCCACTGGAGGGTCAGAGCACCGGGTGGGTCCCATGCACGGGGCTGTGGGACAGCGAGAGGGTGGGGTCCGCCAGGCTTCCTGGAGGAGGTGGCACTGACACCTGAGGTGTCTGAGGAGCAGCCAGAGCCAGGAAAGGTGGGTGGGGAGAAGACCCATTTCTCTGCACTGAGGACACACAGGTGACAGAGGCCGGTCATATAAGTATTTCTGGCCACAGCACAGCATTTAAGACAAACTTCTCCGGGCAGCTGGGGCGGGGGTGGGGGTGGGGGGGTGTCTGAGCCGAGGAAGGAAGTAACGGCAGGTGCGTGTCTGCCGGGCTCGGCTGGAGGGGGCCTGCAGGGACGGCAGAGGAAGCGCGGGGCTGACAGACACATCTGGCGCACAGCCATGGGGCTCAGAAGACCCGCGTCTACTGAGACGGACGGATTTTCTCTCCTCCAGCCACGCGTTGGAACCTCCCAGCGGGGTCAGCGATCAACTGCACTTCACTCCTGGCTGGATTCCACGTGAGCCTGCGGGGAGCCGAGATCAAGCCGGCTGGAGCCCCCGTTTAAATACAGCCTGTCCCCAGGTCCTCACTCTGGAGAAGGACACCAGCGAGCCGAGCCCCGCCTCCTCGCTGTGCGCTTCACCTCACCATCCCGCAACCTGGCTTCCGCCTTCCTTAGATCTCATGGGTTTATTCAATCACAGAAGCTTTGAAATGTAACTCACACGCAGTGGAATGACTAAGCTCTACAGAAAAGGACATTAAATTCCAACTTTTCTCACCGAAAGAGGAAGTGAATGCAGAGAGAATCCGGAGGTTTCCAACGAGGGCGACTATGACCTCATCATCAGATTCCAGTGTCTCGGTTACACTTGAACCCACGACCTATCCGTGCTTTCCTATGCTGCTGCTATTTTTAACAGGTGCAACCTCCTCAGCCTTTCCATGCGCCCTGAGCCCCAGGTCAAACAGAGCAGGTTCGCGACAAATGGCTCGTCCTGCGCCCCAGGCAGGTGAGGGCCCGGTCAGGTGCATCAATGGTTAGAGCACTGGCCTGTGCACAGGAGGGTCTTGGGTTAGATACCCGGGTCAAGGGTATGTACCTGGCTTGCAGGTTCGATCCCAGCCCAGGTCAGGGCACATGCGGGAGACAACCAATTAATGTGTTTCTCTCACGTCGATGTTTCTCTCTCTCTCTTCCCACCTACCCCCCCCCCCTCCTCTCTCTAAAAATATCCTCGGGTGAAGATTAAAAAACAACAATAACACAAAAAACACCACCAGGGACTTCCCGCAGGAGGCTTGCTGGTGGTTTACGATGCTGTACTTTTTGGCTATTCGGCGCTAACGACCTGTACCTTTCCTAACACAACCTAGCATTTCAGTGTTTTTCCTCATCCCTGGACATGCACGAAGTCCAGACCATGAAGCTCTTAACGAGCCCCTGTGCAGCGCCTGAGGGCGGCCTCTCCCCCAGGGGAGGCGGGGAAACGCCCAGGGCGAGCCCGGAGGAGCCATCTGGCCGGCACTGGGGTGTCTGACGCACAGCAGCCGCCAGGACGACACACTGACACGGGCCTCGCAGACCGAGCTGGCCGCAGGCGGGACCATCCTTCTCTCCAGGCCCAGCCACGCCGGCCTCTGCCGGGCAGCGAGGGGCCAGCGCTGCTGCTCTGCACCCACGGGGACCCGGGTGAGGGAGCCCGAGAATCGCCGGGAAATTTGGAACCAGAGAGTTTGCCTTCACTTCACTGTGGGAAGTGAAACCTTGCACATAACCACCGATGAACACGAAATCCTCAAAAATAAAAGGGCTAATGTTTAAATCACGGGCTGTGAGTCTTGCTGCACCCACAGCGGGTCAAAGGCAGAGAGCGAGGGAGGGAGGGGCCCTGTCCTGGGGCCGCCCCCCCCCTCCTTCCAGCCAGGCGGTGCCTCTTACCTGTAAGTGCAGTATTTTGGATTCATTATTTCGCAGCATTTCCTTTTGTCTCTCAATTTCAATCTCAAAGCTGCATATCTGGTTGTGCAAGCTTTGTATGCTCTTGTTTTTCTCCACACTTTCATTCTGCAGCAAGGAAACCTGAAAAAGGAATGCTGCCATTAAGCGAACAAAATGCGGTTTCATATTAACGAGTAACCATTGGGCTTCCGGAAGGCAGGCCTGAGCTCCCGGGGAGGCTTCCGGGAGACACCCCTTCACCCCGGACCGGACCGCGCAGGGCGATGCGCCCCGAGTGCCAGGACGAGCCGGACGCTCTCTAAAGGTTTTGCTGGAAATCGATGAGCCTCTCGCCGGAGAGGCTTTCGGACTCCGGCGGAAACGCACTCCCATGGCCCCCTCGCCCTGCGCGTGCGCCTGAACAGCGGGCATCACAGGCGGCGCTTTCCTCACACGGTTCCCTCTCACTCCGTTCGCTGTAAATAATGTGGTCACTACCCGCTGCGTTACCTCGTTACCTCGCACCCGCCAGGGCGCTCCCTCCACCAGGAGGCCCGGGGAGGACTGGCTGCCCCGCCCGCGCCGCCCCGGGCGGGTCCAGGCCACGACGCCCTTGGGTCCAGAGGCGGGCAGACCCTTGAGCCTGGGACACAATGAGCCCCAGAGCCACCGCGGGGTCCGAAGCCCCCGGCAACCCCTTCACGGCTTCGTCTCGCGATTCCACGCGGGCAGCTGGCCCTCGAAAGGCGCCATCACCCACAGCCTCTCCGCACGGAGGACCGCGGGGGTGGCAGTGCGGGGACTGCCGTGCGGGGACGGCCGAGTCACCACAGGAAGGACCCAGGGAATGAGCCGTCCCAGCCGAGTCCCGCCCAGTGAGCACCGGAGGCGGCCCTCCCCCCAGCTCGGAGGCAGCGCCTCTGGACGTCGTGATCTCACTGGGAACGAACGTGCTCCCTGCGGCTCCGCTCAGCGCCGCGCACTTCCCCGGGAACAGGACGCCTCGCCCGCACGAGCGCCCACGCACACGTGAACCCGCCGCCCGCACGGTGCCCCCAGCGCCCTCACGTGCCCCCGCTGCTCTCACGTGGCCCTGCCGCCCGCACGTGCCCCCTCACGTGGCCCCGCCGCCCGCACGTGCCCCCTCACGTGGCCCCGCACGTGCCCCCGCACGTGCCCCGCCGCCCGCACGTGCCCGAGGGCAGTCCTCAGTCCCGCTGTCACAGCCCCAGACGCTCTTCTGACACCGATGCCGATGCCCGACCGGGCTCTTCTCTGCAGCAAACCAAGCGCCAAGGAGGCTCGGCCCCACCGCAGACAACAGCACCTTCCACTCGGTCTGTGCCGAGGGGCTGCCCTGCTCGAAGCCCCTTTCCTTCCTGATGCCTTCACTCGGGGAGCCCGCCCGCCTGCACCCCCGGCCCCGCCCTCCCAAGCGTGGCCCCCAGATGGTGCTGCTCCCTGGGGCGCGAGCCTCTGAAATGGAAGGTGTGACGGCGCCTTTAACTCCCGGTTTCACAGGACATTTTCTATAGTTTGACCCCGAATGTGAGGCCCAGTCTCCGAACCGACCCACACGCCCCTTCCTGCCGCGTGAACCTGCCTGAGGCCCCCCTGCAGGACCGGCGCCAGGGCACGTGGCCTCCATCTTGGTCCAGCTCTGCTCTGGGCCCAGTGAAGAGCGAGGGTCCGCCCGCGGGGGCGGGGATGCAGGGGAGGCAGCGGGGGTTGGGGGGGGCGGGGCCCGGGCAGACCCTTGAGCCGCACCCAGGAGCCGCTGCTCCCATCCCCTGCAGCTCCAGCCCCCGCACCCCCCAGGCGCCAGTGTCCGGAGCGAGGCCGCTGTGCTGTGCGTGGGCCCCGGGGAGGCCCTTCCCCGCGGGGAGCCGCACTGAGGGGGCGGACCTCGGGCGCCCGCAGGTCTCAGCGGGGAGCCGCCACCCCAGACCCGCAGACGCTATGCAACTCCTGCAGCTGGATAAGCAACTCATCCTCGTGAGCAAGAGAACCTTTTAAATAGATGAGAAGGGAGAGACTGAAGCCCTGACATCTATGCCTATACATTTTTTTTTAATTCCTCACCCAAGGGTGTTTTTCCATTGACTTTTTAGAGAGCAGAAGAGGCAGAGAAACAGCCATTCATCGCCTCCTGCACGTACCGGACCAGAGCCCTGGCCAGAGAGGAGCCTGCAACCCAGGTCCGTGCCCTTGACCGGAATCAAACCCAAGACCCTTCAGCCTGAGGCTGGCGCTCTATCCACTGAGCCAAACCAGCCAGGGCAAAACCTATACTTTTAAAAAAAGCAGAAACAGTAGTCTCCAAAGAAAAGACTTCTAGGAAAACCACCGAGAACAGAGCGTAGACACACGGCTGATAGGACACCACACGTGACTCACGACGTTCACTGCACGGCCAACGGACGCCTGCTCCGTGTGCGTGTGCATCTCCAGCTATGGCATCTATACTGAAACGCTGCTTTATTTCAAGTACATGAATATTTAAATTGCCTGGATTTAACTGAAAAGAGGCATTCGGATCCGCACCGACAAGGCTGACCGGGCTGCTCGCTGCTCAGGGCCTCCGCTGCGCTCTCCCTGCGAGTGTGCTGGGCGCCCAGGTTTCACTTTGTAAGTAACCCGCAGCGAGTGACCCCAGGACAACTCCATCTACTCTGAGGTCCTCACCTTCTCGGAAAAGCCCTGCCGAGCAGCACCCCATGAACCAGCTCCCCGGGAAGGGGCTGCTAACAGCCCGCCCACAGCCAGCCCCTCGAAGGGCAGCCGGGCGAGTGAGTCCCTCTGGGGAAGGGCCTGCTCGGAGCCCCAGCTCCCACGGTGCCGCCTGAGAAGCCGGTGGAGAACCTGTGACATGAGATGCCTTCCCGGTCGGGGCTGGCACCTGTTCTCTAAGGGCCAGAGGGTAGGATGTGAGCTGTGCGGCCCCCGGTGTCCCAGCTGCTCCACTTGGCTGCAGCCATAGCCAACGTGGGAAGGAATGAGCCCGGTGCCCAATGCGACTTCATTTATAGGAGAGGGAGGTCTGCCTGGGTGGCAGTCCCTGTCCAGAGCAATGCTAAGATAACCACACGATTTTTAAAAAGCACGGCACACGTGCTGGCAATAAAAAAATAGAACAAACGCAAACACCTTCACAGGGAGACTGTGTGAGGAGAATTTACTTGACCATCTCTGGGTGCTGCTCCTTTCACCCTCAGACGTGAATCACCATAGAAAAGGTCCCTCCCACAAAGTGGAGGAGACCACGGAGAGGACCAGCAGCAGCACGTGGGTGTCCTACCTTCTTCTCCAGGGAGTTGCTCCACTCCTTCAGCAGATTCACGTGCTGCACCGCGGAGCTGGCCTCGTGCGCCTTGATCTGCTGGTTCGTCCCCTGCAGAGCAAAGTGCAGGGCATTAGCCCTCGTCACCCACAGCAGAGCAGAAAGCCCGGAGAAGCCTGAACCGGAGGCAGCACCCAACGGGAAGCGGGAGCCTGGCTCCTGGGACGTGACTGACTGCCGTGCCCAGCGGCCCCACTCCACTGCTAGCGGGTGCACGGGAGGCGGCTCTGAAGTTGTACAGGGATCTCGGGCTCACGGCTTCACTCCTAAGCTGCCCTCACCAAGTGCCTTCTCGGCTGTTTCATACTTAACAACATCAAGAAATTGAATTTCAGACATATCATTTTCCTTCCTTTAGAAATTTACTCATTAAAATATAAACGGGTTTGGACAGCTTCAGTTACAGCTAGATACTGCTACAGTAATCGAGTGAACATGTAATCAGATGAGGGTTCTGACTAATTCACCAAAACATTAACTTATCAGTGACATACACTGTAGCAGGAAATGTACTGCTCGCTGTTCTAAGGCTACTTAGGAAGTTACACAGAAACATAAATAAACCAGCTACCGGAGAACAATAAGAATGCAGAACCATTCTCAGGAACCAAGCCACAGCAAGTAGGTGGCTTTCAAGTAGTGCTTCCATACTTAGGAAGTAATTGATAGGAAAATAGAATTTGTTTTGATATTGGAAAATTAAGAAGCCACAGGAAGCATTTTAATGATCTCCAAAACATATACTCTGTACAGAGAATATTCCTATGTATATGTTGACATAAGTGTTGCTATATGTCAACATATACATACACAGACACAGAATGAAAGGTACTACACACGACATCACAGGGGCGAGGCTCCGTCCCCAGGAGACTGGGGCAGAGAGAAGCTACAGTCCTCTTCATGCTCAGGCTTTCACTTCCTGAGAAAATACTAGGACAGCATGTCTCGGTACCAACTTCATAACGATGTGTGGCTCATACATAAAGTTAAATATAAAATAATTTAATAGTAATAGATACTGTCTTTTCATAGTTTTAATATTAAGATACACACTTAAATAGAAACTCAGTTTAAATTCACTAGCAATCTCAGACGTGTTAAAAACAATAAATAGCCGGGCCGGCGTGGCTCAGTGGTTGAGCGCCGACCTATGAACCAGGAGGTCATGTTCAATTCCAGGTCAGGGCACAGGCCTGCGTTGCAGGCTTGATCCCCAGTGAGGGGCGTGCAGAGGCAGCTGATCAATGATTCTCTCTCATCATTGATGTTTCTATCTCTCTCTCCTTCGCCCTTCCTCTCTGATATCAATAAAAACATATTTTAAAATATATATATATATATATATATATAAATATATCCCTAAAAAAAATTAAAAAGTCAGAAACAGGTTTGTCACAGCAATGATGGAGATGTCCTCTCCTGCTGCTGTCCCAGGAGGTGTGGCTTGTATGCAGAATGCATTTATGGATACACATGTGTGTGACCCTCACCACAGTGCACCGATACGCACACTGCTCACACCAGCCGGCTACATACTTACAAGCATTACAGCCGACATCGCCATCACCGTCTGGCTGCAAACCCCACCCCCCGTCAGGCCTGTACGACCCACTCACTAGCTGGTTTCAGACGGGAACATCCTGACTTCCTCTTGGCTCAGGTGTTCACCTTAACTCTCAAAGCCCCACCGTCACCCACGCAACAGGGTGATTCGGATTCATGCAAGGACTCCAAGCCCAGAAGTGGCACGTTAAAATGTTAATGTAATAACTTGCTCCCATGGCAGAACGTCAGCGACGGGGAAGGACAGACATCGGATACTGACCTGAAAAACGCAGCCATAGCGCTTAAAACTACAGGTGCTGGGGGCATTGACACACTCTGACAAGTGGGCACTCAACTGCAACGGAAAGAGACGTGAGTTGTGGCACGAACATTCGCATGAAAATGTTCAAACAGGTTAAAGGCACAGGAGCACCCAGGCTGCACCGTCACGGACGGCGATTACAGCCGCAGGTGTGTCCCGTCACCGGCTCCCAGACTCCTCGGCAGTGAGTTCACAGTATTGTCACGTGTGTACACAGATACACCAATATACGGAAATACGTTCACTGTAGCGTTGCTTAAACTCGAGTTTTCGTTAGGAATGTTCGAAACGTGACCTGCCGTCTGCAGTGCCAGAGATAAGAAAGGAAGAAACGTAAACTGAAATGCACATTGAAAGACTGTAAACGAAAATTGCATGAAACACAAAAAAGGAAAGCATCCGGGATGCAACTGGGCCACACACCTCATACAGAGCACACAAACACACTTCCCAAGGAGCGGGGACGCCTCCCGTCCCTTCCCTGACTCGCCCTGCAGGGCGTGCACCGCGGTCTCCAAAGGCCCTGCGGCCGCGCTAACAGGAGTCTGAGCTATCACCTCTCGCTGACGGGGATTAGAGGACCTGGGAGAGGATGAAGCTGCAGGTCGGCAACTGGTCCATACAAACCACCTACACCTGCGACGCCCCCTCCGGAGGCAGAAGGTGCTGGGCCCTGGGCTGACGCAATGTAAGGGCAGTTTCTCCTTTTACTGAAGAAATACATTCTCATCAGGAAACTCCGGGGACAGACCTTTATAGGAACAATCAGGACCTGTCTGTTGTGGGCCAGGGCCACACCCCCAGTGCCTGCGGGGCGTCACTCTGGTGGGGGGGGCACTGGTCTGCAGGACAAAGCAGGCCCCTCCCTGTAGGTCAGCACTTGGGACAGAGAGGAAAGTGGCCACAGGACTGCTCTCTGTTGCGACTGCGATGAGGAGGGCCAGCACTGAGGGACCGGACCGGCCACGGCCACCTTTGCGGTCTCTGAGCGGCAGCCCAGCACACCGAGGCTCCTCTGACCCAGCCTGGAGTCCGGCCTGCACCGAGGGAGCACCTAGAGCAGTGATGGCGAACCTATGACACACATGTCAGAGGTGACACGCAAACTCATTTTTTTGGCTGATTTTTCTTCGTTAAATGGCATTTAAATATATAAAATAAATATCAAAAATATAAACCTTTGTTTTACTATGGTTGCAAATATCAAAAAATTTCTATATGTGACACGGCACCAGAGTTAAGTTAGGGTTTTCAAAATGCTGACACGCCAAGCTCAAAAGGTTCGCCATCACTGGCCTAGAAGGTCCATCACGGGCCGGCAGAGGCTTAGCCTGAGCAACTTAAACTTTAAAAGGACCTTCCACTGCCATCACCGCCGTCGGGAACGAGCAGCCGGCTATGCGGCGGGATCAGGGAGCAGAGTCCACGCGATTGTCAGGGCGCCGCCATAAATTCAGGGTCACACTTTTTCCTAAATTGGCTTTATTATCATCACTCGCAAAGCCTTACAGAATTTGCAGGCACTTTGGAATAGAGGCAAGAATAATCTATACGCCAATAACACCTTTCACCAGAAACTCAAGGTAAATGCTGGTTGAAAGATTTTTTTGAAATAAAAATAACTTAGAGGCAAAATGGAGGCAGCTTTCATCCCTAATTCAGATAGCCCTGAGTGAGTAAAGATTTAGCAGAGTGTATAAGACCCTGAAATTATTTCAACAACAGACTCTGCGTGCGCTCACGTTAACAGAGCGGCTCTCTGGTTGTGGAAATAATCGATGTGTTTCCCCGCTGCTCGGAGAGGCACGTTCAGGGCCAGGGACCGGCCACCAGGCAAGACCCTGCCTTCGCCCCGCAGTCAACTTGTGCAGGATGCACCTCGAGGGAGAGCGGCTCTTGGGGTCCTCCCTGCACCCCGCGTCTCCCACTCAGTGGGGACCTGAGGGGATGCTCCCCACACTGTCTCCAGTGGTAAAATTCCTAGTGGCCCAAAGGCTGAGGGGACTTCTCAGAGCAGAGCCCTCAGGACTAAGGGGACACACGCACCCACGGAGCCCACTGAGCCCACGTGAGCCCCAATGGCACCCCAAATGGCAACCAAAGGGGCTCCAGGTCAGGATTGGATGCAAAGACATGAAGAACCCTTGGAGTTTTCCGTCTGGGTATGTCTGGGGAAGGTGCCTTCCCAGTGGCCCCTGACACGCAGCTGCTGGCTGGTGCCACTCGCTTCCCACGCCAACCCCGCCAGCATGCGCGGCCTAAGTGCTCCGGCAGCATCTCTGAACAAATCCATTTTCTTGGGATAATCCTACAGTAATTCCTATTTTACTGATTTAAAAACAGCTGCTTTTAAAAATGGCATCTCCTTTGCTTGCACTGGAAGCAATCCCATTTTCTCAATTCTTAGCAACACTCGTCCTGCACGGACACTGCGGCCTTTAGTTGCTGCTGAACCTCCGACTCCCAAGAGCAGCGGGAGGGTTTCTATTGTGATCTGCAAACCTAGGGTCTCGGAGTCAGGGAGGGGTGTCTATGGCTCGCTGTCCTCGGACCCCGGGCCAGGCAGCGGCGCCCTTACCTCGCTCCTCAGGAGGGTCTGGACCCTGCACTTGTGCGGGCAGGACACCACCACGCAGGGACAGTCAGTGTCTTCGTGTTTCTGCAGGAGAAAAGGAACGTGTCGTCAGCTTTGAGACATACAGGACCCGGAGGAGGCACTCAACGTCCGTCCGGATAGGCCCTCACACCGACCAAGGCCCTCACACCGACCAAGGCCCTCACACCGACCAAGGCCCTCACACCGACCAAGGCCCTCACACCGACCAAGGCCCTCACACCGACCAAGGCCCTCACACCGACCAAGGCCCTCACACCGACCAAGGCCCTCACACCGACCAAGTGCTGGAAGATACGGCCTCACGGGAGCCCCGTCACCCTGACGACATACAGCCCTTGTGGGAGCAGTGTGTGCTCTTAGCAGGGCACCTGTGCCCACAGCGGCGAGGGGAGGGGAGGGCGGGCTGAGACCAGCCCAGGCCCAGCCTTGGCTCTCGGGGAGACGGGTTTTGTCTGGCCTCTCAGTTTGGGGTCTGGAAATGATGCTTCTCAAATGCCCGGAACAGCCAGACCTCCTGGGTAGTTAAATGCAGCCCTGAAATCCTACTGAAATTATCTTTAGTGCCTGGAAAATATGGGTAAATTCTGCTTGAGCCCTTCTCTGGATGGCACCAATTTCAAGTGCAGGGGCCTGAGTGACAGGGACTGATCAACTCGATGCCGCCGGCACCCATGCACCTGTCCATAAGTGCAGGAAGGGCAAGGGCCCCGAGCACAGGTGACAGGCGACAGGGCCGTGGGAGCAGGCGGAGGCGGAGGGGGAACTGCGCGCTCAGCAAGGAGCCCAGGAGGCCAGGCCCCGGACACTCCAGCTTCTCTCTGGCCTCCCAGGCCAGGCTGCTGAGCTGAGTGACGGAGCCTGGCCAGGCACCTGGGTCTGACTGGGCAGGTGTGGGCAGAGGACAGGGTGGCCCATGTGGGCGAGTGAGTGGGGATGCTTCTCCTGAGGCCCGGAGCCAGGCCGCACACTGTGCTTTCTCGCGTGGTTTTAAGGCCCGTCTCTGGGTCTGTGGCCAGCGGTGACCTTCGGCACACGCTGCTCTGCTGCTGGGCCAGGTCCGAGGTCCCGGGGGGCGAGGCCACGCTGCTTGGAGCTCACTGGAGGGCCCTCGACCACAGGCCTCCCCGAGGCGCCGTGTTGGCTTCCCATCCTGCCTGCCTGTGTGCAGCATCCTGGTGCCCAGGGCCAGGTCTTCAGGGAGATACCTGGACAAGAGCTCCGCCTCCGCCGCACCTGTAAAGGCAAGGGTGGCGGGCGCTGGGAGGGAGGAGTCAGGCCTGGGCCTCAGAGCTCACCAGGCAACGCTCTGCCTCCTCCCCAACCTGCCCGTCCCATCCTCATGCACAGACCAGCCTAGGAGGACCCTAGGGATGCAGAGAGCGTGTGTGTGTGTGTGTGTGTGTGTGTGTGTGTGTGTTGGGGGGGGAGGGGCAGGAGGGGCGCCCTGAGGAGAAGTGGGGTGGGAGCAGTGTCCGGCCGCAGGGCCAGGCAGTCAAGGCCTCTGCAGATCTGTGCACGGTGCCTGAGGACAGATGTCAGGACGCAGGCTGTGCTGGGTAGCCACGGGAGAGGCTCTTTCAATGGGACTTGACAGGTATCGCCACCGGCCTCCTCTAACCCTGCACACACCCGTTACCACGTGGGCAAGCGCCTGCCTTGTCAGTCCCACAAACGTCCCACACTCCCACAGTGACCGTCAGGATGGCAGCGACCGATGTGGGATTCTTTAACACTTGGAGTGGGGGTGAATTTCCCGCCAAAATATAAGATGGCTCTGTCTTTTGGTTTTGTTCCATCCACCAAAAGGGTGGATTACAAACAAATATTTGGTAATACACAGTTACAATCGGCCCGAGTTTACACGTTTCCCGCACTCCACCGCAAATCTATATGAACCGAGTTAAAGACGGCTCCCGCGGAGTACGCGCAATTCACGCGAGCCGACTTAACTCGTTTCCCGCACTCCAAGTGTTAACAGCGCGTGGCTAAGCAGGTTTTTTATGTTGGTCGTTTATGTTCCCTGTGACTTGCCTTTTCTTGGCTCTCGCCCATTCCGGTGGGTTGAACAGTGAGCCCTCTCCCCATTCCTGTCCACCCGGAAACTCAGTGTGGGCTCACTTGGGAAGAGGGTCTACGCGGACGTGAGGTTAAGATGGGGCCTCACTGGATCAGGGGGGTCCTCACACGAGGAGAGGACACGCAGCAGGACGATGGCCATGTGAACACGGGCCGGCCCCGGCAATGAGGCTGTGGGCAGCGCACGCAGGAGCCCCCGGCTGGGGGGGGGGGGGGGGGAGGAGAGGGGGAGGCGTTCTCCAGAGCCTCTGGAAGAATCCATAATTTGGATTTCTAGCTCCAGGACTGTTAGAGCATAAACTTCTGTTGTTTTAAAACACCAACTCTGTGATCCCTTGTTACAGCAGCCAAAAGAGAATAACACCCATTAAAAAGCTGCCCATCGCCTGGTGGGCCTGGCTTAGTGAATGAGCGTCAACCTATGAACCAGGAGGTCACAGTTTGATTCCCGGTCAGGGCAGTGCCCAGGATTTGGGCTCAATCCCCAGTGTGGGGCATGCAGGAGGCAGCCGATCAATGATTCTCTCTCATCATTGATGTTTTTACGTATCTCTCTCCCTCTCCCTTCCTCTCTGAGATCAATACAAAAATATCTAAAAAGCTGCTCATCTATTGGTAAGAACTCAGCACATGATGGATCAGCCTGTCAGAGTAAGTGGGACGTACTGGGACACACCTGAGCTGTGAGCAGGACCAGCCCTGGCCTCACCTATCCGTGTGCTCCTGTTCAGTCTCACCGCCTCCCCACAGTCACCACCCACACCTCTGACCTCTGCTTCTACTCCTTTGCTTAAAAGGTTCCCTTACACACGAATCTGTTCCAGACAAGATACTGTTTTGTTGTGGTTGCTTTTGAATTTCATCAAAACAGAATTCTACCCTCGGAGCCGTCGGCGACCTGGGCCGTATCAGGCTCCTCAGGCTAATCCGTGCACTGCACACGGTGCAGGCCCTCACCTCTCACAGGTGTGTAACGACACCGTCACACAAGTGTCCCTGGGGCCACCACCACCTGTGCCCCTCCCAGCAGGTGGACGTTGGGCTCTTTCCTGGCTCCCGCGGCGCTGGCTCTGTGCGGCCACGGTCCTGGCGAGTGCACGGCAGCCTCCCCTCCCGCTAGGAGAGGAGCGGATCATTAACTGAGGACAGGAATGTTCCGCCAACTCGTTTTCCAACGTGGCTGTGCCTACACATCCTCCCATTACAACGCACCTTGTCCCGTAAAATGAGATCTATGTAATTCTGACTTCTCACAAATGAACACAACCGACCCATATTCGAGCATTTCCAGACTAAATGTAAAATCATGCTACTTGCAGCCCCGCTGATGTAACACCGATACCGGCTCAAACACAGGAGAGAGGTTGCCAATCTGCGTCTTACTCAGCAGCACAGGCGTGGGGACTAAGAGGCCAGGCCTGGGAGGAGGAGACGAAGGGAGAAGACGGGGAATCGAGCCGCGCCAGTCCACCGGGACAGGTGTGCGAGGAAGCGAGTGCACCTGCCTTGCTCGGGTCGAGCTCCCGTGCACGAGCGGGGACTGTGAGGTACAGGCCCTGGCAGACGGAAGCACATGCCTTAACATACCTGGCATATCTGCATCGTTAAACAGTGGATCACTAGAGCGCAGTGAATTTCCAAGAGTCTTTCCTGGCACAACTCAGGCCCCAAACTTGCTAACTATCTTTTTGTGCCTCTCACCCGTTTGCCTCTGCACCTGTTTGCCGCTGACAAATTTAAGACCCAGATCAAATCGAATGCTACCTGCCACCAAGGCCCGCGTGGCCCCGCAGGCTACCGAGCCGGCCTTCCTCGGGCGCTCTATTCCCGCCACAGGGGCAGTGAGGGGAGGGGACAGACCGCGTGCGTCCTGAGCAACCAGCTCAACCAGGTCCAACAGGCACTCAAACGTCTCGTGAATCCCTCCGCTGTTATTTTAACACCAGTCTCCTCACACCCGTCTGGAGTTCAGAGTCAGTTGCGTGATGTTTAATTGACACACTCTACAATTCTTTCGCAAATGAATAATTACTGGATTCTATTCTGCAAATAGAGGTAAGTGGTTCTTGCAAGAAGCAAAGGGCGTGTCTGACAGCAACATGCCACCGCGTGCAGAGCTGGAGCCCGCTCACTGGGGCGGCCGCGGGCACCGGAGGGGTCGCCGAGGCCCTGCTCAGCCGTGACCAAGACTCCGCTCGTTCCAAAGGGCAGGCCCAGCTCCTCCCAGTTCCGCACACCTGGGAGCGTCTACAGAATCGCAGGGGAAAGACTGCACAACGGGAGAAAGCCACAGGCATGAGAAAGTCATACAAAGTCAGGCAAACGTGAAGATTATAAAGATTTTGTACCAAAAAAACAAAGACTTTTCCTGGATTCTGGTCAATAACTGCTTCAGAACATCCACCAGGAATGCGGCTGCGGCCCTGCACCCCCTCCCTGTCCCCCCATCTGATGACCCCACCGTCATCGCTCTGCCTCACCCCGAAGTCAGCTCCCAGCCCCTCCCAGCAGCCTCCCAGCAGCATTGCCTGCCCTGCCCCTCACCCGGATACCCCTCTCCTGACCCCTGACAGCAGCCTCTCCTCTGCGGACCACCTCCCGTCTCAGCGGCCTGCAAGCACCATGTGCCCAGGCTCCGTCTGACCGGGGCTCTCCAGTCACACCCATCCCATGGCTGCAAGGACCAGATGCTCATACCTTCTGGAGCCTGGACACCCCGCTTTCCCCCTCGCCCCCCAAGCCTCTTATCCCCCACGGGCCCCACCTCGGCAGGACGCTCCGGCTCCTAGAAATGCTGGGCGTCACCCTTAGCGCACACTCTATACTTGAGCCTTCAGCTCATCCCATTGGTTCTACCTTCAAAACTACCCCAGAACCCCTCCCTCTCCCTGCTCTCCTTGTCCAGGCCAACATAGTGCCTCCCTGCCCCGGCCCCGGCCATCTGTCATACCTGCTGGATGGACAGTGCAGGGAATTCACCCCCAGCTCCCAGCTGCCGTCGGCTTCCTGACCCTCGGCACCTCGACTGTGTTCAGTGCTGGGAGTGCGCTGGCCTCACAGCTCCTACAGTCCACCTGCCCAGCTAGTTCCAGCTCAGTTGGGTCTCCTCGCTGCTCCCTCTGCTCGAGCTCTCCCGCACGCCACTGTGTCGGAGGGCAGCCGCAGGCCCGCTCTCCACGGCACCCACCGGACCACCCACCGCCTGTTCGCCATGGACCTTCAGGTCCCAGAACAACGCCCGGCGCTTAATAAATGTTGTTCAACAAATGGACCCATGTTGAGGGTTCCCACACCACTGGTTGTTTTCAAAGTTTGCCCTCATCCGCATCACCCCTCTCTCTCTTTAATCTACAGATAAAGGATCTGATTCTAACACTCGCACGATATTGAACTGGGCCAAAATAATCGCAGTTGGAGAAAAATGTGAACTCCACATCCCTGCGAGACAGACGGCTGTGCCGACGCGATGGTTATCACAGGGCTCACAGGGCGGTAAGAAATTAGGCGATCCAACACGATTTGGGAGCCATTCCCTGGGACGAGTGAGAAAGTCTACCTCTTTTGAATAATTAGTCTTCATTTTTTTGGCAACCCAAGTGATAGTCAACCCAGGCAATGAAAACATTAACTACGTAAATGAAAATGAGTAAAACAAATGGAGCTTAACTCTGAAATGAAGTCAGATGAAGATTGCTATTTACGCCCGGCTTTTCTCTTACTCCTGTTAGAACAGTCACGTAAACGCTATTCTGCGGGCAGATCGCATCTGGCCCGAGCATGCGGTAGGTGGAACGTGAATACTGCACCTGCAGCGTGATCATCGGGACTTGGCTTTTGCAGTGGCTGCACGTGGCCTCGCGGTATTTACAGGTCTTTTCCACATGATCGCGCAGGTCTTTCCTCAAGACCCTTTCTTTGCAGTCTGGACGCACACACGAGAGTTCTTCAAACTGGCAGTCAGTCCTCAGATGCACCTGGGAGACAAACAATCCCAAGTTCTTAGTCAGCAGCAAATACCACTGGAAGCGCCCGATTTCGGCCTCCACGCAATCAGCTCCCTCAGAAACATTTCCATCTGCCACAGACCAGCTCTCCAGAGGAGAGTGACACAGGATCAAAGACACTGAGTCCCACACCCATTCAGTGGCTCCTCAAACGATACTGCTCTGAAGAATTCAGTCAACTTCTCTCCCTAGATAAATAAATGGTTATCTGCTGAGGACTTTGTTTTATTCTAATTCAAATATCCTTTCAGGATAAAATCTATAATAATAAAAGGATAATATGCTAATTAGACCAGACATCTTCTGGAGTCCTTCCTGACGAAGCCAGGGCCTAGGGAAGCCAGCCCGGGTCCCGGGTGCCTGCTGGAGGAGGGAAGCCTGTGTCCCAGGTGCCGGAGGGAAGCTGGTGCCGGCAGCCAGGGGAAGGAAGGCCTACCCTTGCACGAATTTTCGTGCATCGGGTCTCTAGTGATACTAATAAAAAAATACAAGAAGTTATGTGGAATTTCATGGTAAAAATAAGAGGTTTTAATGGATCTTCCAAAATTAAAACTCGATACAGATTTCTTTCTGTTCTAAATAGGGTGGCGAGTTTACACCCAGTGGGGAATTCTGCTAATGGTGTCACAAAAGGGACATTTCCGGCCCACGTGGTATGACTGCTCTCACGTGTGGCAGGTCTTAGATGATGAATGCCTAGGTGCACACACACTGGCCGGGGACGCTGTGTACACGGGACCCCCTGCGACCTCGGTACTGACCAGCAGCTGTCCCAGGGCTAACTGCTCGGCGCAGCCGCGGCCGACGTTCCGGCAGTGGATCTGCAGGGCCAGGATCTCCCGCTTGCAGCAGTTATCCTTGAACACCTGCAACGAGGACAGCGGTGAGAGGCGGGCAGCATCCCTCATCGCCACAGGCTGCTGCTTTGGGCGATGCAAAACCACTTTGAAAAAATCACGCAAGCTTCCCTTACGTGGGCCGCAAAGCATGGAGGACCATCTTCATTTCCCATGTCTACAAGCAGAAGGGAGAAGCTGCCCCACAAAGAGACACCATTTATTTATTTAAACATATTTTTATGATTTCAGAGAGGAAGGGAGAGGGAGAGAGAGATAGAAACATCAATGATGAGAGAGAATCATGGATCGGCTGCCTCCTGCACACCCCACACTGGGGATCCAGCCCCCAACCTGGGCATGTGCCCTCACCGGGAATCGAACCGTGACGTCCTGGTTCATAGGTCGATACTCAACCACTGAGCCACGCTGGCTGGGTAGAGACACATTTAAATAGCACAACCTTAATACTGTCTTTTACTAGAGAAGCCAAAAGGAACCAAGTCACACTGAACACTGAGAGGATGCTGGGTTCACGCTGACACAATCTCAGGCGGGCACACCAGGACCGAGTTCACGTTGGAACTCTGGACACTCCAGGAGCCGGCACCGTGAAGGTGGCCACGGGAGCTCACCTCTGGTCAAGGCTCAAGGGCAGAACCTGGGAGAACTTGATGCCTTGGTAGATCGCTGACTACAGAAACTACCGTGAAAGGCCACATCTCACAGACGGTTAGTAAACCATTTATTTTGGTTCCTTCTCCGAAGATTAAGTCACTGATAACTCATTTTTTAGCAAAAAGGAGGCATTAGCCTGCTATTAAAAAATCCTTTTAAATATATATTGCAAAGTTGATCCAATAATGAAAATGTTTCCCTTTCAAAATGAAAACCCTCCTTTCTTTAATCCTGTTTCCCCTTTAGAAAACAGGTATGCTCACTCCTAACGACATGGTTACCGTTAGCCCTTGGGCATTTAATTCTAAGAAACTCCCACATGCTAGCGCTGTCACAATGGAAAACCAGACAGGGAGCCTTTCTCAACCCCAGAGCAGAGAGGCAGAATTGACAGCTGTGAAGAGTTAAAAATAAACTAATTTGGAGTCAGATCTAATTCCTTATAAATAGGACTTTTAAAATAGGTCATAATTTAAGATTCGAAAGTCAAACAGGTGTTTTTAACCGGTAAGAAATAGTTCCTTTTTGTGTCAAAGTTTCTGGAGCCATTTGAGTTTAACTTTATGATTGGAAACATAAGAACACGAGAAGTACAGAGCTTTAGAGCTAAAGAGCTCAGACTGTGCACTACAGCTGAGGACGCCGAGGGCCGCAGTGCCCTCCACCAGCGGCCTGACCTTGGTCTCCCAGGGCCCTGCCCCACAAGGACCCACGGCGTGACTCATCTCACTTATGCTTCTTCAACAAAACTAGCATTTTCCCTCCAGCTATCAATGCCACTGAAAAATAGGAATTGCCCTGGCCGGTTGCTCAGTGGTTAGAGCATCGGCCCAGGGACTAAAGGATCTCGGGTTCGATTCCTGGTCAAGGGCATGTACCTGGGTTGCAGGTTCCATCCCCAGCCCCATCAGGGCAAGTGCAGGAGGCAACCAATTGATGTGTCTCACATCAATGTTTCTCTCTCCCTCCCTCCCTCAATGGAAAAAAAAATCCTTGGGTGAGGATTGAAAAAAAAAAAGGAATAATACTGATTAATGAAATGAGAGACTAAGAGGCCCTCTCAGTCCGTTGTTTGTTGTTCCGACTTCTTCCCTTTATGTAGGTTAGATGCATGTTAACAAGGTTAGCTACAATGTTAAGATAAGGAGAACAGGGTGATTTGTTTTTCTTAGAAACATTCCCTTCCCTGTTACCAACCGAAGTCTTTAGAAACAGGTAAAGGCTTAGAAAGAAAAGGCAGGAGAATCAAGATGGGGGTGTAGGTAAACGCCAGTACTCACCACCTCCCACAACCACATCAAAATTACAGCTAAAATACAGAACAACCATCATTCAGAACCGCCTGAAAGCTGGCTGAATGGAAGTCCTACAACTAGAGAAGGAAAGAAGAAATAACCAAAACACCAAGGGTTAAAGACAAACAGAGAATCTTAAAGGCAGGAAGAGAAAAGCAGTTAGTGACCTACAAGGGAGTACCATACGACTGTCAGCTGATTTCTCAACAGAAACCATGCAGGCCAGAAGGGAGTGGCAAGAAATATTCAAAGTGATGAATAGCAAGAACCTACAACCAAGATTACTTTATTCAGCAAAGCTATCATTTAGAATTGAAGGTCAGATAAAGAGCTTCACAGAGAAGATGGGGCTGGCTAAAGGAGTTCATCACCGCCAAACCAGTATTATATGAAATGCTGAAGGGTGTCCTTTAAGAAGAGGAAGAAGAAGAGGAAGAGGAAGAAGAGATGAAAAATATGAACAATAAAATGGCAATAAATACATATCTATCAACAAGTGAACCTAAAAACCAAAATAAGCAAACCAGGACTCTAATGAATGAAATAAACTGGTGAATAAAATAGAACCGAGGCCTGGAAGCATGGAGCAGACTGACGGATCTCAGAGGGAAGGGGGGAGGGAGGGAAGAGACTAACCAAAGATCCCATATGCACATGCATTCCCCATGGACACTGACAATAGGGTGGGGGAGGGGGGCGGGAACCAGGGAGAGGGGGCAGTAGGGGAAGGGGGACATCTGCAATACGCTCAACAATCAAGATTTAAAGAAAAAGAAAAGGAAAAAAGAAAGAAAAGGCAGATGGAGACTTGGCTAATTCCATCTCTAAACTGCCATGCGGGTCCCCAGCCGCCCTGCCCTGCCGGGGCACCTGCCAGCGCCCGCAGCCGCTGCTCCTCGCTGCAGACAGAGGCCAGCCTGCCGGGCCGCAGCCAGGAGCCCGAGCGAGAACTTCACCACAATGTCATGGCCTGCATTTAAGAAACTATTAGGTTCATTAATCAAAACATCGGAACCACGGATTTTTATTGATATTTTAAGTACTTCAATGAGTCATTTCCAACTACAAGTGTGCCTGGTGGAGTGTGGCAGCACAGGGAGGGCCCGGGGGGAAGCCGTGGGTGGGCTGGCGCCTCTGGTCTCTGACAGAGTGGCCCCCGTGACACCTGTGAGCCCCGCGCACAGGCCCGTGGGCAGGGAAGGGGCTGAAATCTCAGGTGGGTCATGGCTTCAGGATGCCCATGGGGGCGGGAGCCAGCGGCCACAAGGCAGAACGGACCGAGCGCTGCACGCAAACCACCCAGCTCCCAACACAGGACAAAACTGACAAAGAACCCAGCGATACCTTATCTTTAACGATGCTCTCCTGACACGCAGTGCATTTCGGGCTGGCAGAGCTGAGGGAAAGAGACAAACACGTCAGAGCGGAGCCGCCTCTGGCCGCGGTCCTGTCACTCGGGGTCGCAGCCCTCACGGCCACCGGCGCTGTGGGGTCGGCCTGGCTGGCGGAAGTGGGGCCGCAGGGAGAGGGCAGACTGTGGAAGGGTAACTTCGAAGGAAGTTAGCAGAACAGCGAGGTCAGTCCCGTCTGGAAAGCCCCGTTCGGTTAAAAGTGAAATTTTATTTCAGAAACCAAAACCAGCCATGCGTGGGGCTCCTCCGTGGGAGTGCCCGGTCTCAGGAGCCACACTTTCTCCACGCGCTCGTCCCCCGCGGAGCCTTCACAGCCCGCGAGAGTCCCCCACCCACAGGCGGTCTGTCGGGGGCCCTGGGCAGGACCCCAGGAGGGAGGTCGCCGCTGCGCTCGGGGCTGAGTCAGGAAGAAGAGGGCACCTTCCCAGGCCCTGGGCCCGGCCGCGGGCAGCGTGTGCCCACACTGTGCCCAGGAGACACCGTGGAGAAGACACTCGCTCGCCCATGTCATTTCCGCTGGGACCCTGGACTCTGCCATGGCAGTGGGACTCGGCTGACCAGGGCTCCCAGGTCAGTGCATGCTCTGCGCACACCCGCTCCGCCACACACACACTGGGTGCCTCCTCGTCAGGGGCGCGCCCGGCCTCCCTGCTGCCTGTCCTCCTCTCCCGCACGCAGAGCACGTGTCCCTGGCTGATGGCGTCTCCTCCACGGAACTGTGAGCTCCTCAAGCAAACTCGGCAACACAGTCAGGGGACACCACGGACAAGGGACGCCAGGGACAGGGGACACCAGGGACAGTGGCCAGTGCCACTGAGAAGGCGGCAGGAGAGACTTTACAGATGCTTCGGGAGGAGACAGACAGAGTCTGCGGGGTGGGGCTGGCGGTCCAGGCCTCAGTCACCGAGGCCCCTGCGCTCAGCTGTGCTCCCACCGGGTTCCCTAGGTGGCCCATCTCTGCGGGTCCCCTTTGGAGCTTGCTTTATGGAGAAGCAGGAGACGGAGACGCGCCGCAGTGGCCCGGCGCCTACCCCAGCACGATGGCCATGCAGCTGTCGCAGAAGCGGTGCCCACACTCGGTCTGCTTGGGGTTGCACAGCACCAGCTGGCACTTCTCGCACTTGTACTTGTCCTCCACGGTCTTCACGAACTTCTCCTTGTACCCTCCTTGCTCGGGGACGAGCACCGGGGTGCCCGCGCTGCGGTCCGGGTGCAGCTTGAGCGACGGGTTGGTCTGCAGCGAGCCGGAAGGGTCCATCTTTTTACTCGGCTCCATTGTGAGACAGAGACACTCTGCTGGGAAAACAACAAGAAATGAGTCAAGTGCTGCCCATGGCCCAGCAAGGAGACAGCAGACACGGCCCTGGACGCCTGTCAGCCTGAGCGAGGCTGGGTGCTGGGGTGGGGTGGGGGGGGGCGCCTGCCCGCTGCGCCGTGCACGCTCACGCCGCCGCTCACAGCCCTGACGGCACGGATTGTATCTTGAAGGTTCTTTAAACCACAGAGAACACCTAGCTGGGCCCTAAGCTCCCATCGAGGCCCCATTCCGACGCCCTGGCTGAAACCACAGCCCTTCCGCCAGGGTTGCTTCCCAGCCGGCCTTTCTGTGGAGGCCACCTGCTGGCTGACCGGGTGGAGGTGCTGTGATGGCCTGCAGTCAAGCACACTGCAGACTCCTGCTGAAGTGTGCGCGGTGCCACCCCGCACGAGTGCCCCAGGTACCCGAGCCTGGGCACCACAGGCCTGGCCTTGCCTCCTGCCGGCCCCATCACTTCACCAACCCCGCAGCTATGGATCCCCACTCTGCCCGCAGAGCCGCCGGTCCCCGCACTTACAGAGCCGCCGGTCCCCCGCACTGCGCCCACAGAGCCGCCGGTCCCCCGCACTGCGCCCACAGAGCCGTCGGGTCCCCCGCACTGCGCCCACAGAGCCGTCGGGTCCCTGCACTGCGCCCACAGAGCCACCGGTCCCCCGCACTGCGCCCGCTAGCCACCGGGTCCCCGCACTTACAGAGCCGCCGGTCCCTGCACTGCGCCTACAGAGCCGCCGGGTCCCCGCACTGCGCCCACAGAGCGTCGGGTCCCCGCACTCGCGCCCACAGAGCCACCGG